AAAACATGGAACAAGTTGTACTACCAGAAAAAACCCTGCATCTCCAATGCATCAAAACCAGAATTCAACATGTTTCCAGCAGAACAAGACCTGAATCCAAACAGAAGTTTGGTGTTTCATATGGAGGGAGCGTTGTTGAGATCATGTTCTGGCTTTCCTTACTTCATGCTAGTAGCCTTTGAAGCTGGAGGATCCTTGAGAGCTTTCGTACTTCTCCTTCTTTACCCTCTTTTGTGTTTGGTCGGGAGGAAAATTGGGATGAAGATCATGGTTTTTGTTTCCTTCGTGGGATTGAAAGAGGAGACTTTCAGAATCGGAAGCACTGTTTTGCCAAAGGTCTTCCTAGAAGATATTGGAAATGAAGGGTTTGATATGGTGATGAAGTACAGTGGAAGAAAGATAGGAGTGAGTGAAATGCCTAGACTAATGGTGGAGAGGTTTCTGAGAGATTACTTGAGAGTTGAAGGCGTAGTGGGGAAGGAATTGAAGGTGATTTCAGGGCATTTTACAGGTTTAATGGAGGAAAAGAACACAGGCTTAGGCGGCGTTTTCAGCTCATCAGATATTGGCCTTTGTTGCTTCGAGAATCAGAAACTCTTTTCTCAGTGTGAGGTTTGTCAATCTAGCCTTGAGAACAGTCACTTTCTCTTACTTTCTTTCCCTTTCCCCTGCTATGATCATGTTTTGTTTGCATGCATTCAGGAGGTTCACTTAGTAAATGAAGGTGAAAAAAGGTATTGGGAGGCTCTTCCAAGGGAGAAACATCCAAGGGAATTGATTTTCCATGATGGGAGATTGGCATTTAGGCCAACCCCTATTGCAACCTTATTCATGTTCATGTGGATCCCATTGGGGCTCTTTCTTTTGGTCATTCGTACATTAGCTGTTTTACTCTTACCATATAAACTTTCTGTCTCAATCCTATGCTTCACTGGAATTACAGGCACCACCAGCGGGCTAAACCTGTTGGACACAAGGGGAAAACAAGGGGGCACACTCTTTGTTTGTAACCATAGAACCTTCATTGATCCCATCTATGTTTCACTTTTTCTAATGAGGTCTGTGACTGCAGTTACATATAGTATAAGCTGGATTACTGAGCTGGTTTCACCAATCAAGACTGTCCGGTTAACGCGAAATCGGGAAAAGGACTCAGAGCTAGTGGAACAGGAACTGAGGCGGGGTGACCTTGTAATATGTCCTGAAGGAACTACCTGTAGAGAGCCATATTTGCTAAGGTTCAG